AGGTCCCACACAGGATTGTGTGGTTTGTCTGGCGCATGTCTGCATATCCTGCTGAGAGCTTTACTCAGCTGTTTGAGAGTGTGATTGGATGTGGGAAGGATGTTAGCCTGCCTGCATTTCTTCATGAATGCCTCATCCACCGAACGTATCGGTGGGAGCTTCCGCAGAGCAAGTCTATCTCTGATCACACTCGGAGTCCCACTGGTGAAGGACGTGCCCCCTTGGTGGTGCAGCTGATCCACGGGCGGGTTTCCCCGCATGGGAGCCTCTGTCGCTGAAGAGGCTGCGGCTCCTGAAAAGGGGGAAGCTGCAGCGGCAGCGCCTGGCGGGTTTCCCCGCGGTGATCCGCGACTGGCGCTGCCCCTAATCGTCGGACCTTTTGGGACGGGCCGCCACAGGCGAAGCTGGCGCAGGGGCATACCCGGTGCGCTCGAAAGCTGCCGCCCTTTTAGCAATGGAGCTGCTGCGACTAGGCGGGCGTCTCCGTTCCTCCACAGGGTCCTGAGGTTGCTGCTTGGGCTCAGACGCTTGCGCAGGAGTTGCGCCAATCGGCGGTCTCGGAGTTGCAGAGCGAGGCGCCTCCATCTGCGCATCTGGCCCAGGATCCTGAGAGCGCGCCTTGGGTTTCACCTCCGAAGACGACTTCGGTGCCGGGGTTTCGCTCTTAGCCTTCGAAAGTAGTGGGAGCGGGGGTCTCCTAGCCCCCTCCATGTAAATCTTGTTGGAATCCTCCAACATCTTGCGAGTTGCCTCGCGTGCGCGCTCGTCTGCTATCCGCATGCGTTCCTCGTCCTCCGCAACACGTTGGGCCTTCTGTTCATCCTTAGATGTCGGTTCTGGTCGTTGGGACTGACTAGAAACGCCGGGCGAGTTTCCTCGCATACCAGGAAGACTAAAGAGCGCGTCTTTCTCTTCCTGGGTCATGGGCACCAGTCCTCCCCTTGGAACCGGGGTAGACTTCTCCTCTTCCCGTTTCGGATCCAAGTGGCCCAGGATCCCGAGACGACGATTCACTTCTGCGATCTCGTCCTGTCTCATCGGGATAAGTGGCGGATGGCCCTCTTTATGAGGGGTTTTGCCCCTGTTTGGGCTCAGACCTTCATTGTTGCCAACGGGGCATCCCGGCCTGTGGTTCTGGAACGGCTCGGAACAAGGTCCGCAAGCTGCTTGAGGCCTATACTGCTTGCGAGCCGCGATGATGTTTCGCAGCTGTGTCCGCACTTCTTCAATTTCAGGGCGGCGGATGTTTGTTGCAAGCTGATAGCCTCCGCGGATGGCTTTACCCTCAGCGTCCCTATAGGCTGGGTTGCCCTTGCCGAAGGCCGAGTGTTCCCCTTTTCGGCGTCTTGGGTCATTATACGGAAGCAGCTGGCCTCCTCGCCTGAGAGCGTGTTCTCTCGGGCCAGCCTGCCTCCACTCACGAGGAAGCCGAGCCTGTGGATGTGGCTCTCCTCTGACACGCGGATGGGAACGATACCTTCCAGCATACTCATCAGAAGAGGCTGCCGAAGCAGCCTGAGTGGCAGCCGGCGGAGGCGCCTGCGGAGGCTCCTGTGCAATCCCAGGTGGATCGGCCACATGAGGCAGGTTTCCCTGCTGGCTGGAGCTCGGCGCAAATGGCGCTTGTGCCGATGGTGATGGTACTTCAGGCTCGTCGGGATCAAAGTCCACCTCTACCTCCCCGTTGACTTCCATGATGAGGATTGTGGCTTCGTCCTCGCATAGCCCGCAACCATCGCCCTCTTCTTCTTCTGATGTAGAACTGCCAATGATGATGGCCATTGGCGCAACCGGGACAGGCAGGTTTCCCTGCATAGCCGGCGTCTGTGCGTCGCTCGGCTGTCCCGGGGTAGGCGGCACGGTCGTCGGCTCAGGCTCGTTGCCGAGCACAGGCTGCCCGGCAATGTTGCGCATGGCCGTATTGTTTGGCCATGGTCCCACCGCCTGGAGACCCCATCCTGGCGGAGGAAGAGCCTGACCGCGCATGGCGATGGCCCTTTCAAGAGCATTGCGCCATCTCCCGCGGGAGTATATCACGTGTCTCTGCACGTCCTCAGGATGCACGCTGTCAATGAGAGTCAAAGCTGCCAACACTAACTCCGAATCATCGCAGGCGTCGGTGTCCTGCAGCATCATGATGCCAGCTTCGATGCTCTCTTGGCTCTCGGGATATGCGATGATAAGTATCCCATGCATCCTCATGAGGGTTCGCAGAAGTGCACGTGGTCCGTGCTTGCCTGGAGCAAGCGAACCAGGGGGTGCAAATGGGGTCTCTGGTTCACCTGCAATGAAAGCTTGAACGAACGCTTGAGACTCCATATCTATAAGTTCTTCATTAGTTTGGGGATAGGTAGGCCTGTTTCCAGGCGGGAGTTCAGGTGGAGGTTGGAGGTTGCGTTCAACCTCGGAAGGCGAGGCCTCCACAGTGATGTCCTCGTCACTGCTTTCGTAGGCCATGATGTTGCCTGGGTTCCCGAACATCCAGTCGAAGAAAGACAGAGGCTGGTTTCCCAGCGTACCGTGATCCACGGGAGTGAGCTCGTTGTTGCCAATAACGAACCGGCGGACGTACTCGAGGTAGTACGCGTACAATCCATGACCATACGCCTCGAGCTCGTCGACGTTGTCCATGCAACTGACCCAAGTGTAAAATATCTGTTCCATGGCCTCAAAATCCTGGAGGCTCAGATATTCGATGAATGGTTCACTTGAGCCAAAATGGACTTCGGACGACCTGCCCTTTCCATTTCCCTTCGCTGGACAATCTCGCACAAGATGGTCGGTACTGTCGCACTCATGGCACTTAAGAACCGGGCCGTCTCTACCTCGCGGGTTTCCCCGCCGACCCCTGCCTTTTCCTGAGGTCTCTCTGCGGCCCTTGCCACGGCCCTTTCCCCCGAAGAATATCTCATCGTATTGTTCATCTGAGAGCCTCTAGAGGAATGCCGTGATGCCTCGTCCGTTCAACCTCCGACGACCTCGCTTACCTTTACCTTCTCCCTTGAAGCTCCTCCGTATCCTCCTCCTAACACGACGCACTGGTTTTCGCGTGAACCTCCTCCACCTCCGTTTAGCCTGTTGTAATAACCAAAACAAATGTTCAGCACGCTGATGGTCATTATCCATATTCATAATATCTGACCAATCTAAAGCTTCAACACCGTCTGATGATATAGTATCTGCGTCGGTGCCGGAGCCGAAATCTTCGTCTCCCAAGTAGGTGGATACACCGTCGGTTAGGGGGTTTGATTCACCCCATAGAGAACGGTGTGGTTGTGGTTCTCTAGAAGGAGGGCTGGTTGCCCAGCTTGGTTGTGATCGATCTCCTGCTAGTAGAGCAGTGGATTCTCCAGGATGATCAACCCATATGCTTGAGGGCCCGTTCCCAGGCTGGGCTTCAGCGGTCAAGGTAGTGTAGAAATTTCCACTACCAGATCCCCTTCCCCTTCCGAACACAGATCCTATATTGCCAGGAGACCGTTCAGATAGGTGGCCTATCGAACGCATCCTCTCCAGCAGCTCATCATACTGTTGTTGTGTTCGGGGCATTTGGTGGTTGAGTGGCTGTAAGAGTTGCATGGCTCGCTGGTTGCCGACGCCTAAGGCGCGGAACAGGATCGTAGTTAGTAGTTGGAAGTTGGGACAGTCAAATCCCACCGACTGTGCCTCCAGTCGGGCCATTTCGAATCGGGTAAGGGTGACATCGATTCGTTCTCCGTGCGGCACGTGGAAGTCGATGAGTTGTGTGCCGGAAGTGAGATGGCGCTCATCTTCCAGGCGTTCGAACTTCATGCTTAGGAGGAACATGATGTAGGTCACTGGGTCAGTGTGGACCCCATCGATGTCAGCGCCATAATTTGTAATGTCAGGCGGTACCCTCATGGCGAGTGTCCTCGCTAGGCCACCCAGACCGCGTTGTATGGTGGCCGCTTGGGCCTGTGGCGTCATACGTCCGCTTGTGACGTTGAGCCATGCGTTGACCTCATAAACGTACTCGCGGAAAGGTACGTTGCCTTGAGGGTCCCAATATGGGCCATGTGTTTGCCCATCGGTGCTGATATCTCCACGACGCATGTGTCCGATTGCTGCCCCCAGCGCGAACCATATGATAGCGAAGATAACCAGCCCAAGGCTGTGTAGATAGGGGTGGTTATGAGGCGCGTTGCCGCGCTGGGGTAGCGCCTTATCAAGTCTTCGAGGCGCTCTATCTGGCGGATTTCTCCGCCCATGCTTCCAGTATTGCGCCTTTGGCTCGTTGCCGAGCGGTTGGTGGTAGCGCAATGATGAAGCGTAAATGGTACCAATGTCGTTGTCTAGACGTCGTACCTCTCGTGTCGCTTCTCGCTCTTGGATAGATCCTCGTAAACACACTGGGAGTGATAGCGCAGGGTGGTAGGTGGTCACGAGGATCGTGCCGAAGAGTATGAGGCTAAGAAGAGCAAGAGCTGACCACACGAGAGTGCGGCCAGTTCCGCTACCAAGTCGAAAGTGAGCCTGGTAGGTCAAATAGCATCCGTCTCCATGGGAGGCGGATGAGCTCACATTGCATCCAATTCCATGTCGAAGGAATACGATATGGGGAATGGATGGGTATGATAGGATAGAATCGATGTATCGGTCTTTCCAGCACATAGCGAACACTAAGGTAAGTGTCCGGGCAAATAGGGCGCGAGTGCCTTGAGCCAAAGGCAACGGCGCGCGAACTATGCTCCCGATACTAGAACATCTCCCAAGGAGCTACCCTTAAAGTAGGAACACATGACAAAGGTGGACAAGCCAAAAAAGCGGACCCCTTGGGTGCCAAAGATCTGGAGGTGCAAGTGCGCAGCGGCGAACTTCGGCTTCCGCAAGGAGTGCTACTGGTGCGGGATGACACCACCCCCAGAGACCGTCGCGTTGCAGCCCAAGCAGCTGGAAGAGATGGTCAGCTGTCCGAGGGACTCGAAGGAGGAATATCCGACGGTGGTGAAGAGGCTCAACAGGTGGACCAAGACCCGCTAATGGACTGGTGGCAGGACATGAAGGACATGGTTGCGACAGGGGACGGCGCGATGGTTTCCGACTTCGTGTCTGACACGGCCGTCTCTGGCGACATCGAGGTGTACCACATCGGCGAGGAGGTCCGAACGGACATCGACAAGGTCGGCCACTTCAGTTCCGAGTCCCAGTCTGCGGATAGCCGCAGCTCGCAGCGCATCGGCGCTCCTCTCGGCCCTCAGCCCATCGGGGCATCTCAGACTTTTCTCGAGAACGGCGGCAAGTCGTCCTGTGCTGCCCTCTCTCCGCCCATTGGGGCCAGTTTTGACTCTCCTGATCTTGATGTCTCTGGGCCCGCCGGGTCCGCTTCTGATTCATCGGACGTGCGGGATTGCCCGCCAGGGTCGCAGCAGCAGTTCGAGAAGATGGCGTCGGACACTATCGCACTCGTCGGCACGGACAGCTCAGAAGCAATGCGGCAGATGATGGCGCTGGCGGCGATTTTTGACTTCCCTTTCGCGGAGTCCCTCGGCGCCTGAGGTTGTCTGCCCCGTCGGGGGCGCCTTGGGCTAGCCTCAGCTTGCGCGCCTGGAGTCGTTCCTCGGCCCTTGGTCGTGGTTCATTTCCCTCGTCAGGCTCAAAGCTCAGCATCGCGGCCCGTTGAGGTTGCCTCGGCTTCCATGCCAGCGGTCATTGAACGACCGGTCTCACCAGAGACCCTCAGAGCCCCTCCTCCTCCTCCTCCTCCTGCTCCTCCTCGTCCTCCTCCTTCTCTTCTTCCTCCTCGTCCTCCCCGTCCTCGCCCTCCCAGTCCTCGTCCTCCTCCTCCTCCTGGAGGGCAAGAGGCGCCGTCGCCTCCTCCCTAACTACTCCTCCTCCTCCTGGGGGGCAAGAGGCGCCGTCGCTCCTGCTGCCTCCACCCGCTGCCTCCTCCTGCCGCCTCCTCTTGACTCCGCCTCCTCCTGGGGGCCAAGAGGCGGCGCCGCCGCCGCGGCCATCGCATCGTGTCGTCGTCGCCCTCGCCCTCGGCCATCGTCGCCTCGTCGCCTCCACACCCTGGGCGAACTCGGCGGCGATCCAGGGGGTGAAGTAAGCAGGAAAAGGCCTTCTCAGAAGGCTCCGCAAGCCCCCTGTCCTTCTGAGAAGGCATTCTGCATTCTCCTTCTGAAAATCCCCACCGCCTTCTGGGAAGGCCTTCTCCTACAGTGGAGGCCAGTCCACAAGAAACCTTCCACATGAAACCCAACCTTGAAACCCCAGGGCGTCCATTGACTTTTGGTATGGGAGCGTCTTGCCTTCCATGGCAAAACCATTAACACACAAGAAACCCAGGGCCACCTGGAGGCAAGCAAGGTGTTTCTTGGCATGGGCCCCCCACGGTATGCCGTGTGAAGCGCACCTTGATCTCCATCCCCTGCCTCCCTCGACTTGCATCCGCTTTTCGTACCCCAGGGAAGAGGAAGGAAGAGGAGGAGGAGGAGGAGGAGGAGGATGAGGAGGAGGAGGAAAACAAGGAGGAGGAGGAGGAGGACGAGGAGGAGGACGAGGAGGAGGACGAGGAGGAGGCGGGGGGGAGGAGGAGGAGGACGAGTGGGGTGTGGGGGAAGGGTGGCGGGTTTGGGGGGGAGAGGGTGGAGAGGGTGGAGGGTGGGGGGTGGGGGTTGGGGGGAGGGGGAGGGGCAGGGTGAGGGTCAACGCATTGGTTTACTGGTCGCGATGATATTGACTTCGAAAGAGAAATTTGGAACATCAAGGTGCAGACTCCATCATGAGGCAGGATGCTGGCAGTGGGGTCCATACCCCAAATCTTTGAAACATGTGTGTTTTTCATTGTGTTGTTATCTAGTGTTCCCCTATCAAAGTGTTTTACTTTAGCTAGGCGTTAAACAACGCTTTTGGGGCCTCCGGGCGGAAACCTATCCAACCATCGTAGGAGCATTTAATTTTGGAGCCTTCCCGGGACCAGAGAATTGGAAGCACTTTGGGGATTTCCCCTCCAAATCCCCATACATTTGTCCAAACTACCGCCAGGGTCCACATGTTTTGGTTTTCAGGAGATCGATGCAAGGCCCAGCTTCCTGGCTTAAGCAAAAGTCCGCAACGTGTGGCAGCGGAATATCAGTCCCGACGGGGTGCGAAACCTGGCCTATAAAAAACCCACACCGTAGGCATTTCAAAAAGCACACAGCGTAGGCCTTTTAAAGGGCCCATGCCCCACTTCCCCTCATCCCAGGGCGCTCGAATCAAAAAATGGGCCCGGGCAAACAAACATATGTGTTGAAAGGCCCCGAAATCGCCAGGGACACAGCCCACAGGCCAGGAAACCCCAGAATCCGAATTTTCCAAGCCCGGAGAGCTTGCCAAGTCCCGCTTTCACCTATTTCACTGAACATTGTCAAAAACAAAATACATCAGGTTTTAAAGCCTTGGAAGCCCCTGAATTCTGAGAGGTTCGAAAACACGTGTTCTGCGAGCGCAGCGAAAACGGCCACCGCAAACCCAGCAACACGAGATCTTAAGCATTGAAAGCCCAGCACGTACAGGTTCGGACCGCAACCGCCTGAAATAAAACACATGTCGAGAGTAGGCCTAAGGTCGGCGGCATGTCGCGGAGCGCTAAACCCCGCCCGAAGCCCCGCCCGCCCGCCGAGCGCCGCCGCGCCGCGGACGGCACTCCGCGGTGGCCGTCCTTTTCCCCGCACGGGAGCGGTGGACAGGGGGCTGGTGCTGGGTGGGCCCTTAGACAGGGGGCACCACGCACTGCTCCCACTGGTCAGAGCGGCCCTGTCAGGGGGGTCCCGGCCCCAGAGGCCATTCGCGGTGGGCGCGGCGCTAAGCAGCGCTACGTGGTCCGTGCGTCTGTCCACTATACAAGTCGCATGGGCCAGGGGGGGGGAAACGAACCAGAAAAGTTCCCCGAAAACCTCGGCGACTCGTCCTCACCTCCTTGGGTAGGGCAGGAGCGCGTGGCGAGAGGGGGGGCGAGCCGAACAACCTCCACCTCGACTCCTGGGGCGGGGGAGGGCGTGAGGAGAGTGAGGAGCGCCGCAGGGAGGGGCGGCCAGCGCGACCTGCGACTGCGGCGGCCGACGGCAGCAGCGCGAAACGGCAGCGGCGAAAGGGGAGGTCGCGCGCGCATGTACTGCGCGCGGACGTCCGCGTCCCCGCCCTGGCTCGGGCCGGGCGCGTCGCTCGCGCGGGCCGCAGCCTCACTCTCTTGATGATGATGATGATGAAGGTGACCGACCTGGACGCCGACCTGTGGCCTACTGCCCGACGTGGGCTGGGCGGCCGAGGGGCTGGGCGGTGCTGGAGCGGCCTGGAGGCTACGCTCGGCAGCCAGCCGCTCGGCTTCTGCTACCTCTGGTGGCACGTCCGCCGGGAGCGGGGGGCGGTCCTGCGAGGCGGCCGTGCCACGGCGGACGGGCCCTGGCCCCGCCGAGGAGAGGTGCTCGGGGCGCACGGGGCTACGTCCTCGCGGCCGGGAATCGGCCCTGGCCCCAGCGGGCGTGGTGGCCAGCGGCCCGCTGGCCGTGGGCACCGTCCCGCTGGCGAACTGCGCGGCGGTGTCCCTCACCGACCGCACCGGTGACACCGAGAAACGCGTGTGGGGGGTCTCGAATGTCAGCGGGTCGGGGGGGACGTGGATGCCGTGCGGGTTGCGCAAGCTGCGCGGCTCGGCGGTCTCCCCGCTGCTCTGGTCCTTGGGATAGGCCTGGCCATCCCCGAACACTGGGGGCCTGGCGAGGTCAGGGCTCGCCTGGGCGCTCGCGGAAGATGGCTGCGCCCCGGGCCTCCGTTCGCGAGAACGCGACGGTGAGATCGAGGCGTTTCGCGGGCCCGTGAGAGCCCCCTGTGGTGACACCGACCTCGCCGGCGCTTGACGTCGGCCGCGCTCGGCGCAGGCAGCGGGCTGACGGCGGGCGACGGTGACCGTGGGCGGTCTCCACGGCGCGGGGACTGGCGGGCGAAAGCCTCGACGTCGTTGGTCGCAGCGGCAGCCGTGTCCGCGGGCGGCGAAGCGTCGGCCGCTCGGCCGTGGTGGGCTGGTGCCGCTGCCCCAGGCGCCGTCGCCGACGGATCCGACGCAGCGACGTCGGGTGTCGCCTCCGCAGTGGCGGGGGTCGCGGTGTTTGCGGCGGCGGGGTCCACGGCGGCCGCGGGGGGCCTCCAGCGGTCTTGGAGACTGTTGAGGTCCCGTCGACTCGCGGTGGCGCGGGGGCGCCCTCGTGGCGGCGTGGGTCCTGTTGCCCGCCCGTGCGGGGCCCAGGGCGGCCTGGTAGGCCGCGCTGGGGCGGCGTCCTCGCGGTGCCAGGGCGGTCGCGCGGGCGCGTGCGAGGGCCCTGGTGTGGGCGGTCGCGGCGTGCGCTGGCGGCGCGGTGTAGGCGGCCTCTCGTGGTGCCCTGTGCGCCGCGGCGCCCGCTGCGGAAGACCTGGAGGTGCGTCGACAACGGGGCCTGTCCAGGGCGCAGGCTGCCCGCGGTGGGCCCAGGGCGGCCGCGGGCGCTGCGCCGCCGGGGGCGCGCGTGGCCCTTCGTGGCGCCAAGGAGCATCCCAAGCAGCCTCGCGGGCTTGCCTGGGCCGGGGGGCGGGGCGCACGTCGGGGGCGGGGTGCGCCGGGTACTCCGCGCCCCGGCGCGGGGCCTCGTGCTGGATAAGCGCGGTGTGGTCCCAGTGGTAAGTGTCACGTTGCCTGTCGCGCTTGATCATTTCGGGATGGACCGTCCGTAAAGACAGAAGAGGCCCCGCGCGCAGCGGTTGACTTCAGTGTCTTCCCCGTCAAAGGAGCGGCGCGCTAAGTCCTCGTGCGGCAGAGCACGGCCGTTCCAGTGGAGGACGACGTCATTTCGTCGGGACTGGTCGCGGTGCACCTTCAGGGCCAGCGTGGCGCACACCTCACGGATCGTGGTGTAACGCGTCATGCCTGTGATGACGTAGGACCACGTTTTGTGGATTTTCTTGCTAAAACGACCCACCGATTTGAGAATGTGGTGGGGTTTAAACAGAATGAACCCAGGACTCCAGATTGGCCACTCGGGGTCAAAAGGTTCGCCGTTTGGCATGCGGCCCCTTGCCGCACGGGGGCGGCCGCGCGGCGCGCGTCCGCTCTGCGTGAGTCGGTTGGTGGCACGGTCGCTGGGCGGGGTGCGCGCTTGCCCAGCGTGCACCGATTGGCCAGGCTCGGTGCCGGCAGGGCCTGGAGGCTCTTGGGGCGCCGACGGGGCCTGCTTGCCCGACCCGAGCAGCCAGCCAGGTTGGGCGTGCCCGTGTATGCGCTGGCATACTACGGGGGGCATTCCCGACGCCCGCATGTCCGCTTGCGTCGTGGGGGGATGCGGGCACCTGCTGTTGAGGATGCGGGCGTGGTCCGGGTGGGCCATGGTGGCGAAGCCACAGACCCAGCTGTTCTGCGCTGCGGCCCTTGACCAGGTCATGCGGTGGCGCATGCCGCGGCCCTTTGCACATGTGGGGCAGTGGACCGCGCTCTCCTGGAGCTCGCTCGCCCTCCGCTGCGCGCAGTACTCGCAGCACTGGAAGCCGCATTCGGGGCGCACCCATCGGGGTGGCAGTGGCCCGTCCCTGGCGTGCCGGGCCGCAGGTGACGGCCGAGCCCATGGGGTGTACGGCCCCTCGTGCCACGATGCCCCCGTGGTCGGCCCCTTCATCCAGGGCGCCCCCTCAAGGACGAGGGGGGGGAGCTTCGACCTCCTCTGACGGAGGCCCGCGGAACCGCCTCGGGGCTCGAGGGGCTGCAAAGCAGCAGCGGTGGCCAGGGTACCCCCCCCCCTCTGTCGGAAACTACGGGCGCCAAGTCTCGCGGGGGGGAGGGGGCGGCGCCCGTGCAGGCAATTGCCCAGGCCGCCGCGCGGCGCCGCGGAGGCGCCGCGCGCGCCGTGGAGCGGGCGCTCCGGGAGCGGATCGGCGCGGCGCTGGCCCGCCGGGGCGCGCGCATGAGTCTGGCCGCTATGGCGCGGCATGACGAGGGGGCCGCCGAGCCCGGGACCCGCGTTTGGCGCGAGCCCCCCACAGCCGACGCCCGTTCGGCGGCCGACGCGCGGGCCCAGGCGCCCGCGGCGCCTGCGAGCTGAGCGCGCCCGGCGAGCCCCGGGCGGCGGCTCCGGCGCCCTCTCGGAAACTGAGTTGCGAGGGCCTGCGTCTTGGCACCAATGGATGCTGGCTTCCCAGAGCTCTGATCAGATCCCCCTCCTCCTCCCCCTTCGCCCCGCCGCCGCCGGCCCACGCCCGGCGCCCCATTTTGCGTGGTAAAAAAAGGGCGCGGGCGCGAGTGCGCGCCCTCGCCTCGGTGTCGTTGCATTTTGTCGCCATGAGGCCCTGCGCGTCGTCGTTTTTTTTTTTTTTTTTTTTTTTTTTTTTTTTTTTTTTTTTTTTTTTTTTTTTTTTTTTTTTTTTTTTTTTTTTTTTTTTTTTTTTTTTTTTTTTTTTTTTTTTTTTTTTTTTTTTTTTTTTTTTTTTTTTTTTTTTTTTTTTGTTTTTTTTTTTTTTTTTTTTTTTTAAAAAAAAAAAAAATAAATAAAAAAAAAAGAAAAAAAAAAAACAATATATATATATATATATATAAACGCAGGACGCGCTGGCCATAAATGCCGCCACGTCCAAGAGGCGGCATTTTTCAATTCTGCTTTCTGGGCGCGCTCCGGCGGCTGATTTTTGGGGTCGCCGCCGTTTTCTTCTTCGTCTTCTTCCTCTCCTCCTCCTCCTCCTCCTCCTCCTCCCCCTCCTCCTCCCCCTCCTCCTTCCTTTCTCTTGTTCAGGCGTGCAACCGCCGAATTTCCGCCCCAATGTCAAGCCGCATGTCTACAGCCGGCCGGCGCCGGCACAACAAGTAGCGCGCCCTGGCATATGTCAAGTTTGCGCGGCGACTAGCTTAGTGCGGTTGTGGATGGATGGGGGGCGCTCCAGGGGCGCTCGCGTGAAGCATATTCGTATATGTCCACCAGCAAAAATGGGGAGGGGTGCCCTCGGCCAAAGCTCCCTCTTCCAGAAAGTCCTTCACCCCTCATTCCGTTTTGCCCCGCCGGATTTCGCTTCCCGCGATCTCCACTTTTATATCCTTCTCTAGCCTCCATCGGACTTCCTGGTTTTCTCGGGGGGGCCCGCCTCCTCCTCCCCCCTCTTCCGAGGGCCCCGGGGGCGCCCCCCCTCCTCCCCTTTTTCGTCGGTTGCGGCCCCCTGGACCTTGAAGCGCGTTTCGGAGCCTGCTCCGCCGCCCTTGGTGCCCCCGCCGTCTTTCTCCCGAGGTTCTCTGAGGCCCTCGAGGCCCCTCCCCCTTCCTCGGCGGGGGCCTCAGTGTGTCAGGGGGTTCCCCCTTGCGCTTCGGGCGCTGCACGCGCGGCGGCGGTGCCGCGCGCGCTATCGGCCGCGTCGGAAAGACATAGGGCCGCTAGCAATTCGAGCATTCGAGGACGATATGCCAATGAGGAGAGGGGAGGAGAGCAACGTCACCGCGGGCCTGGACTCCGAGAGGGCAGCCAAGCCCTGTCACTATGCGACCGCGTGCCGCGCCGCCTTAGGCGCCTAAGCCTAGGTTCGAGCGGTCAGGGATTCAACTGCTGTCAAAACTGCCAAGAGAGATGGCATGCCATGATATGTACAATGGAACGTGTGCCGCCGAATCTGCGCCACTCATATGCTCGTCCTCGTCCCTGCCCTTCATCCTCCTCTTTCCTTCCTTCCCCCCTTCCTTCCTCGCCCCAGTCAGGCCGCTCTCCTAAGCTGCCTGCGCTCCGGCAGCCGCCACTCAGAAGCGCAGGGATTCCGTGGGCTTCCCACGTGCGCGCCGCAGCATGAGTTTGGGAAAGCTCTAAGCAAACCATGGCGTGCGCTCAAATGAGCATCTCTTAGCACTGTCAATGATCTGAAGCCTAATCAGCATCCTCTTCATCCTCTTCGCTCCTTCCACCCATGCAGGCTCTGAGCGCCTCCACATCTTCCTCGGCGATGCTTTCCTGCTCCTCCCTGTCAACCGCGATCTCACCGGCAAGATCAACGGCGTTGCGCAGCGTCAGTGGAACCCTTTCTGAAAACAGCTGCTTCCACAACAAGGGCGCGCCGCCGCCGTGGAAATCGAGACCCGTGATGGGACCGCCCTGATCGTAGATCCCCCAATTGACGAATGGGCGCAACGCTTCTTCAGCTGCTGCCCTGTTCTCGCGGATGTAAGTCTTGATGAGAATTTGATAATTCAAATCAGGTCTTCGCAAGAACGCGGACAATGACTGAAAGCAGGGGGTCTGATCATCTTGGTGGATTGGGTTCCTCTCCAGGAAGACCTCGTGGCACCGCGATGCCGCGGCCAATGGCGTCTCTCCCTTGAATAGTAGAGAATCGAAGGCCGTCGAAGCATTTGCCTTGTTGAGGTTTCGAGAAAAAAAGGCTGGGATTGACTCATAGGCAGCCCTTCCTTGGTAAGTCATCAGGTCGATTGGAGGATTGCCTGTTGCAACAATTCGCCCCTCAAACTCTTCGAGCGCATCATTGTTCACATAGAATGCCCCCGTGACTCCTGGAATGGCCACCTCCACCTTCCACTTCTGGCATCCCTCATCGCGCTCCGCAACTGAGAAGGTGCGCCATTCATCCTGGGCCCGCATCGCCACTTCCAACACAGCCTGCTCACGGAAACCTGCAGCCATGGCAAGCAGGTACAGCAAAAAAGGATGAGAAGAGTTGTTGGAACAGTTAGCTTCAAGCTTGCGCCAACAGCACCTGTCGAATGACATGTTCGAACCATTTCAAGCCATTTTGTGATGACAGCGATTAAAAGGCTTCTTCTTAACCTGCTCGGCATTGGAACAGAACGCGCTAATCATAATCAGATGAATTCCCAGCCCATCGATTCCACTGACCTGTATGATTTCAATTACGGCTCAAATCCATTACCGTGAAAATGTTCAAAGCTGGGGAACGCACGCAGCGATTATTCCGGTGACACGGCAAACAAACAACAAAGGCAATCAGCCCTTTTTTTGAGTTTTGACAAAGTCATTGAGTTTGCACAGGGCCCTTGAGTTCATATAAATCCAGAGTGTCGACAAGTTTCCTGCAAGCTTGTGTGTTCCAGGACAGTGGAAGGGTGCGGCACGTGTCCCATTTTGGGGGCTCATTTTTCCAAAATGCGTTTATTGGAAGGCCGCCTTCTTGAAAATACATTTGGGGTGGGGGACCCTCTTGACAACACATTTGGGGTGGGGATGCTTCTTGAACATCTATCTGGGTGGGGGGCCGTTTTGGAAAACGAATCGGGAGGGGGGCTTCTTGAACACAACTTTGGGGTGGGGTGGGACGTAAGGGGTTCTTGAAACAAAATTGGGGGAACAAGGGTGGAGTGGGATTCGAGCTACCGTATATGGAAGAAGTGATGAACCACTGGTTTTGCTCCAGATAGACTTGGCTGCGCTCCAAAAAAAGATCTGTATTTGTGTGTGCGTATCTAATTAAATCCCGCGGAACCTCCGCAAACAAAATATAAAAAAAATGAGGTACCAGTGGCCGGGGAATTCAATATGTTCTAAAAAGGTTTTGTTTCGAAAAGCTTGCAACCGAAGGGACCCAACGGGGCTCAATGTGGGCTTCCAATTGGCCAAGCCTGGGCTGGGCCCAACTTGCGCAAACGACTGTTTGGGAGCACCCGGCCTGGGTTTGGGCCCTCTTTAGGTGGGCCCTTGCCTTCGAGAGGCCATCTTTCTGAAAAACCTACAGGGAGTCAACTTTATAAACAACAAATAGTGGGACCGCCCCCCACCTCACCCCACCCTCCTCACCCGCAGCACCACAACGATGTAATACAAAAGCACGCCAAAACAAAAACGGACCCCCCGCGCAGCCAGCCCCCTCTCGCACCCATCCACCAACCCCTCTCCCCACCCCTCCCCCACCCACCCCACCCCTCCCTCCCACCTCTCCCTCACCCCACCCTTAAGGTAAATATTCGGATCAAACAGCTTGACTTGGAAAAGGTACGCAATCAAATAAAGCAACTGTCAACAAAGCAGAAGTTAACGCAGCTTGCCAATGGTCGCAACAAAAAGCGACCGACATCGACAACAGTCCCTTCCCACGGCCAGTTGCGCCGTCGTCACAGTTTGCTGGTCGGAGACGGCTGAGGTGTCAGATGTTGCAGCTTTCATGGCTGCTGACCCAACAAATGTCTTGGCTGCTGACACAACAGATGTCCTGTCTGAAGCCAAGCCCGTCGACGGCGGTTTGTCCAACCAAAACCAACGCCGTCTTGGCTCTGAACTCTGGTTCCTGGCCTCTCGGCTCTGGTCTCTTGGCCCTGAGCTACTGGCAGAGCTAACCAGAAACATGTTTTGTGACCGGGGCGAGGAGGAGAGCGAGGAGGGAAAGGGCCAGGAGGGGATGGACGACACATCCAGCCGAGAGCGTAGGGAGACGTGGGGCCCTCAGCATGAAAGACCTCTCGCGGTTCCCCCCCGTTTTCGTCACCCCCCCTGTGGGCCACCCCCCGTCTTCCTCCTGCTCGTCCTGCCTCCTCTCCGCCCCCCCTTGCCATCTCCCCGCCTCTTGGCCGCCCCGCGTCCTTCTCCTCCTCGTCCTGCCTCCTCTCCTCCCCCCTCCCTTAGCCATCGCCAACCCTCTTGGCCGCCCCCGAACCTTCTCCTGCTCGCCCTGTCACCTCCCCTCCGAGTGGGAGGTTGAGGAGAAGAAGAAGGAGGAGGAGGAGGAGGAGGAGGAGGAGGTGGAGGTGGAGGAGGTTGTTGGGGACGGGCCTAAAGCCAGCATGTCACCAACGCCCAGCCAACGTCGGAGGCCTCCGAGTCTGACTCGACGCCGTTGCGCGAGGCTTGGATGGAAGCGGCCCCTAGGTCCCCAACCCAGGGTCGATCCGATTCGACGAGGCCAGAAAAAAACTCAAAACCTGCTCTCGCGGGGCGAAGCCCCCCTGCGAAGCAGCCCGCAATGGGACCCGAGACGCTCTAGGGGATTTGGCCATCCTCCTGCAGCGTCTGCGCCAGGACCCTGCGTTCGGCGATGTTCAGGCCCCCGCGGGCCCCCAGAAACAAATTCTTCAAGTCCTTCTTGTACGACGGGAACCGACCCAACCGAATCCTTCTCAGCTGGTCTGAGATCCCGCCCGTGGTAGATTCAGGCCTGCACGGCCCTCTAGCTCCAGCGTTGGGCGCCCCCGAGGAGAAAAACTATCCACACCTGCGGCATCGCTGGATCCTGCTCCCGGGGGTCCCAGGAGGCTCGAAGACAGGGCAGGCCAGGAACGCAAGACCGCTCGGCATAAAAACCTGCCGAGGGGAAGGCCGCCACTCTTCCCCGAAGTCCAACGAACCGCCACCCTCCTTTTGCTAGTCGGCCAGGGCCTGGCCCACCGCAGCTTCCTCGAGCGAGGGCTGCTGCAGAAGGCCATCGCTGGCTGTCGAGCGTTGCGCGAGGCCTGTGGTGTCACGGGGCCCTCCCGCCATTGTGACCTCGACGCTCTCCGCCCACCTGCGCGCGTGGCGGGCGAGGCATCGCAAGCCCCTGCGCACGTTGGCATCGTCCTCGCTGATCCCGTGACAATCTGCCCCTAGCTTTGCAAACTCGTTTGCGTGTCCGTTGGCCCGACGTTCCCACTCGGTGCTTCTGCCTGCCTCTACGCCGGCGGCAGTCGCATGGCATAACGTCTTGTGGCACTCGAATTCGCTGAAGGCAAACGCGCACCACAAAGGGCCCCAAAGGTGGGCCAGATGGGGCCACAGGGCCCTCAGACAAAAAAGCCAGGCCAACGAGCGAGCGAGTCCAAAGTGCTCCGGCAATCGATGTAGCACTGAAGAGGGGGAAGACCAACCTGCGACAACCCATGTACAGCATCGTCTTCCCCGTCTATACTCGACTGCTGCGGGGCCATACTCAATGTGACAGGTCCGTGCGCCGCCGACACCACATATCCGAACCTGCCGACCGAAACTATGCTCCCACCAGCTCGGGCGAGCCCGCCGAGGCCCATGTTTTTCGCAGATCCGTCCAGGAAGAGCAGCCCTGAGAGGAGGCCCGTCTCGGGCCGCTCGTGCCAGTGGACCGACTGGGCGGGCCCCTCGACGTCGAAGATGGGGCCCTGGATGAGGGAGGGTGCCCCTCGCGAGCCTCTCTGCCGCCAGCGGGCCTAGCTCCTTCATTTTCTGCGGGCAAGCCCCCAGGCGAGCGCCCGCTAGATCCCGACGCTGAACGGCGTGATCTGGGCACTCGTACTGACGGTGCCACATGGTGCCTGGCGCATCCCTGCACAACTGGCAAAGCTCGTCGTCGCGCAGGTTGAGCGGGAACAACCGCGCTCGAGGCCAATGCACTCCCGAAGCCTGTCCTCGAGGACACCTCTGGTGATGATTGCCCCAGACCTCCGACTTCTCCCTGGACATCCTGGAGATCCCGCCCCAGAAGATGGGGTAGACGGGGCCCATCAGGGCCGTTCTGCGAATGGAGAGCACGTCGATCCGGAGCTCTCACCGCCCCCTGCCCGACGAGGGCCCTGACCCGCGTCGGGGGCAGCCTGAACAAATCGCGCGCCACATTCAGGTCGTCTCTGATGCTGTGCTGGTCGACGAAGTCCCAGCCCAGCCCTCGGAGAGTTAGAAGGGCAACGTCGCTAGGAGAGGGCGCTGACCTCCAAGGCTGGGCAGGATTCTGGAACTTGTCAATCGAGGCCCGCATCGCGCTGGCCAGAACCTGATGTTGAAGGGCCGCCTCCCAGACAGCAGTAGCCCACATGAAGATGACATGCCCCGAGTAGATCACAAGGGGGCCCACCTTAGAGCCGAGTCCGCACGTGCACATTCTGGGCCCGACCGTGGCATCATTGGGGAGCCTGCCGAGGGAACTAGCAGCGCCAATGCGGAGACCAGCCATCTTCGAGGGAGACACTCCTGAAACCGAAGAGCCCCAAAGGGCCGACGCCGCAGGCCCCGTCCCGTGGACCATCTCGATGTCCGCCCCAGCTCCTCGAAGCATCTTCAATCTCCTGGCCCGAGACGACGCGGCCGCACCCCTGGCATTCTGGATCCCGACCCTGCGTAGGCCTCCCAGAGTCGCGTTAGTGCCTCGGTTCCTCGTCGCGTCCGTCCTCAACGAAGTGCGTGTGTGTGTGTGTGTGTGTGTGTGTGTGTGTGTGTGTGTGTGTGTGTGTGTGTGTGTGTGTGTGAGTGTGTGTGTGTGTGTGTGTGTGTGTGGTGTGTGGGGGGGGGGGGGGGGGGGGGGGCAGGCCTGGGAGAGGAGCTGATCGACCTCCTTCGAGCATATAGGCGAATTTCTGAAACTCCACTGGTAGCTGCCGCTGCTCGATACTATGGAAGAGAGAGTCGACGGCACCTGATACCTGAGCTGCAACCTGAACTCTGGGCCCACAGGTCTGAACTGTAATGTCGTCGACAACGTTGCGCACATGCAACAAACTTCTGTTCTCCCGAGCTTCCAACATGGGCCCAGCAGCAGCATCGTGGCAGAGGTTGTGGTCCCCGAGCAGCCCGCGACGATCGCGCCCTTCGATTCGACGACGGCAGATGCAGCGCGGCCATAGAGACGCACACGGAAGCCAGCATAGATGGAGCAGTAGCCTCTGGTCAAGCGCACAGGGAACCCAAAGCAGTTAGTTGCGGCGAGAAGGTGCTCATCTTGGTTCGCATTCATGGAATTTGGCAAGGTCCAGGAGCGCCGAGGCCGATTCAAAGCCAGCTTCTCGACAGTGAGCACCGGGCCAGTTGAGGACCCAACCAGCCCGCTCGCATGTCGCGTCGGGGCCCGAGCCCCAGGATAACTCGAACGCGTAGGACATCCCCCAAGAACGACAATGTGGCTGCCTCAATCGGCCCCGAAGCTTCATGAAGAAACACAGCAGCCCTATAGGCCAGACTCCACCCGACGGTTTTCGGGAGGAGACAAACGTTCAACCCCAGATGCGAGTGCAACCTGGGGTGCGCCCAGTGCCCTTGCGTTGTGCCGAGGGCGCGGCGCGCTCGAACCACGCCTCCAGCCGCGTTCAGCCCACCCCGCCGCCATCATTAACTCGGAGATGGTGCTAACGATCCCTGAGGTACAACTTGGCATCCCTGACCCCGTAACTCCATCCGACCATCCCTTCGTTTTCCATGCCCCCTCACCCTTCACCCCTCCTCGCCCCCTTCACCCCCCATCCTCCCGCCGCGCCCGCGACGAGGGGGGTAGGCGGCGGGGCGATGGGGCTTCGGACTGGCCGGGGGGGCGGCGCATGCCGCGAGTGAATTTACTCCCGCGGGGAAAACCTACACGTGCAACCCCAGGTGAACCCCTCGGAAAATTATATGTGCAACCTCAGATGAAGGTTCCACCAAACATCGAACAAAACAACACACGTAACATGTGCAAGCAAACATGAAGGTTTGTGGAGAAACGAAATGAGTACAACCTGGGGTGAAGGTCCCGCTGAGTAAATTTACTCCAGCGAACGCTTGCGCGGGCGCCGACAGCTGATGACGCCGCAGCGCCCCAGAAACAACCAGATCACACGCTACGTCCTCATTGTTTCCTGGGCGCAGCCCCGCGCGGCGGGGCATCAATTTCGACCGGCCGAACCTGGCCTGGGCAAGCGCAAATCAATTCCGCGCCTCCGAAGCAACCGCGCGCGGAACACCGCGCAAGAAAACCGCGCACAAAGCGCGTCGTGGCCGCAAGAACGCGCCGCTCGGGTCGGCGCGCAGAAACGTAACGCACACGGGAACGGCATGCGCCATTTCCAAAGGGTACACATTCACCCCAGGTTGCACTGGCAGCTGGGGTTGAACGTTTTTGGCTCTCTGAGGTTTGTCCAGGAATCCCACATTGGTAAGAAACATAATACTGGCCCCTGGGCCCACTTCGAAGAGCGTCAGAATCTCCCAGAGGCGAAACTAGTGACGTTCAGGAAGCTGTAGCACCCGCCGCGGATGAAAGCCATCTCAACCGAGGCCTGCCGAAGGCCCATATCTCATGCATGCGCGACATAAGTCTTCCAGTTTGAGCGGGGGGAGGTCGGGCTCCTCGGCTGGGGCCTCCCAGGTGCTCGGGGCAGGGCCGCGCCCAGCTCGGAGCCACATGGGATGCCGCGCATCTAGCAGCTGCTGAAGGGCGGCCTGACCAGCCACAGGAAGCCGATAATCATCAGCGATACCTCTCGGGCAGACCCTCGTGACCTGGCGCTTGGAAAGGCGCGAGCAGCTTTTACCCCATCCAGTAACAGCTCGCTTGGCCCACTCCTTCCACTTCGCCAGGTGCAGGGCCGAGTCCAGCCGCCGGCGACGCGTGCATTCCTCGTTGATGCCTTCGTGGATCTCCGGATCCCGAGGGCCCGTAGCCAACGAAGCATGCATCATGTCCAGCAGTTGGGCCTTGGTGGGCCCCTCGTCGACCAGCTCCAAATCGTCGAGGATGTTAAGTTGCGTGGACTTCCAGGGCCCAGGCAGCGCCCCCCCCCTTGGCCCCTGGGCCCCCCAAGCTGATGGCTCTGGCTTTCCTGGGCAATGCCTCGAACGAGATCCAGCAGACCGCTTGCTTGGAAAAACGAGGGCGGTGATCCCTCTCCAAGATGGCAGCGAGAGGAACTTTGCGCATGTGGGGCCCAGCGGAGCGACCAACCTAACCGTTTGGGTCACATATCCCATAGGTCTCAACCACTATAGCCTCGGCTTCGTTGAACCATTCCCGAGACAAGGCGCCGGGGTCATTGTCTAGAGGGTCACTCCGTTAGACGTCCCGATCCTGCGGCAGCGGGCCCATCGGCGCGGTGCTGAACGGCTTGAAACGCGTCTGCTGCGAGACCGCTGCGGTCTGGCAGAGGCTCTCCATCCGAAGCCGCGCGGGGCAATGGGGGGAAAAAGGCGCTCCTTGGACAACCTGGGCGTCTTTCGCGCGCGTGCTGATGACCGACGAGACGACAAAGGTGTCTAACTCCCGCCCTCCAGCATCATGCTCCGTCACCTCCTCCTCCAAAGCTTCCCTTGAGGCCGTCCTGAGAGCGCAAGCAAAGCAAGTCGGTTTGTCGGGCGCAGCCACCGTGCCGCGCGCGCGCTGAACCCAGCCTGAAAACGACAGGGCCGCCGGCGGGAAGTTCCGGCCCCCTTGGGCGATCCTGCTGCAATGGAGGGTCGCGCCCAACACTTCCAATATCTAAGCCCCTTCCCCTGCAACGCCTAGGTCGTCGATCATTTAGACGCTGTAGATCTAAGGCCCTCGTCGAAACCGGCGTTGGTGACCCGACCTACGATCGTAGTTGCCTGCTCCAAGGAGCTCCGAGGTCTTCGAGGCGATCTCCCCCGCGACCAAGACTCCCACTCCCCCTGAACTCTGAAGGGGCCCATCGCAGGTGCCGGTCGCCTTCCCAAGAGATATCTGGCATCCAATTCTGCGGGCCCACCCATGGGGCGAGATAATCTTGTCGGGGGCCTTCAGACGAGTCTCCTGGAGGGCGACCACCTGGAACTTATTCTGAACGAGGCCCCACGAAGTTACTTCGGGATCTCCAGCTTCAGCCCTGTCGCGGACCCAGTGCACTACAGTTTCTGCCGCCTGCCAACTGTGGACATTGGCGCCTGCGATGCGCAGACCAGCAAATCCCTGGGCTACACCATGGACACACTCGTCTGCAAGAAATTTGCGGTCACGAGGTCCGCGCCCCCTCCTGTCGGCCCCTGACTGGCGCGTTTTCGGAACCGCATCGAGCGCAGCGCGAGGGGGGTGGGTGGGTGGGGGGGGGGGCAGCTTGTTCAATGGCCGAGCTCGCTGGCGCCTGCGCCCAGCCAACGCCCCGCCCGCCCCCCTCGCGCGCTGATTCCCCCGCCTCCTGTGGAAGGGGCGCCCTGGAGGAGGATCGAACAGGGGGCGACGGTGAACCCGGGGGCCCCACGGCCCCCCGGGATTTGCGCCCTGACGCCGCCGAGCCCCCAGGCGGCGGCGGGCCCGAGGGAGAGGAGGTCGCGCCCGAGCTCCAGGCCGCAGGCGATGTTCCAGCCGCAGAGGTCGGCCCCGTGGGCCCCGTCTTCCCGGCGCGGGGAGGCGCCGAACTCGAAGCGCACGCGGGCAGGAGGGCCTGTCGAATGGGGTCTGAATCCCCTTTCCTGCTGCCCTTCTGGCCTGCGCCCCTCAGCTTCGGCAGCCGCCCAGCCGAGCCCAGCTCAGGCCATTCCTGCGGGTCGAAAGCATCTGCCTCGGCAGCGTCCTCAACGTAGCTCCAGACCCAGCCGAGCTGGTCGTCAAAGCCAACGTGCTCGCGTGAACCCTGCGACAGCTTGGGCATGCTTGCGCATGGCCGCCCCCTGGGCTTCGCCCGGGGCAGCAGCCTTGAGCTCCTCTCCTGCTCTGCGGAGCTCCTCGGTCCGCTGCTCGAAGTCGCCAGCTCCCAGCAGCTTCATGTCGATGTCGACCCCGTCGCCGTCATTGGCTGCCACGTGCTCGCCACTCCCTCCGGGGGTGGGAGCAGGGGCGTCAGCAGCTGCTGCAGCATCACCAGCACCGCGCTTCGCCTCCTCGGCTGCACGCTGCAGCTCCTGAAGCTTCTCCAGCACTGCCTTCCCCTCCGTGGACTCGACGACGGACGATGCGAGGCCTGCCGACACGGCTTTGAGCGGGTCGTCGAACTCGCTGGCATGGGCTTTGCACAGCAGCTCCTGCGCCTGCGCCAGGTCCTCACGCCCTTTAGCAAGGGACACGTTGACCGTCGGAAGCTCATCGTCCAAGGACTCGCGCTGCCGCTTGATCTCGCTGACCCTCGC